GAGATGAGATGTTGGTCAGTCTGTGATAATTTTGTACTTCGACTTTAGTAAGGCCTTCGACAGCGTCCCACACAAGCTTCTTCTTCTAAAACTCTCTTCATATGTAATACAGAATCCCCTTTTATCTTGGCTGAAGTGATTTTTAGAAGAACGTAGCCAAATTGTCTACTTTGGATCTTTCTACTCCAAACCTGTGAATGTAACCAGTGGGGTTATACAAGGAAGTGTAATTGGTCCATTACTATTTCTCCTTTTTATCAATGACGTTCGTTTTATCTTCACTATGTATATACACGACTCATACACATTGATTATCTTTTGAACTTAATTGAAACTTTCAGAGCATCACTCAAAACTATGACTGTGCTCGCACAAACATTTATTCTAACGTCATATCGTACCGCAATAATAAGTTATTTACTTATCAATTTATTCCGTTTTGTTTTATTTTTATTACTCGTTTTGCTATACATACATAATTGTTTATTCTTGTTCTGCGTTAAGATATTTACGTATTCCGCGTCTCCTTTATTTCTATTTTCTTAGTTTCTTCCTTTCCTCCTTCAAAATCAATTCAAAATTCTTGCTAATTACACAGAACCTGATTTATTATTACCATTCTATTATTAATATTTTATCTTCCTTTTCCTTCCTTTCTCAAACATGGCATATGTAATGTTAACATTATTGAAAATTGTGTATTATTGCATTTTTGAAGAAACCCGAAATGGTTTCTTCACAGCGCTTATTTACCCATAAAGTGTTTGTGAATAATAATAATAATAATAATCAGTGTAAGAAGAGATTTGATTTCGTTATTTCTGCGTATGCTCTGAGAGATTGCAGACCGTATGTGATCTGAAATGTATTTTGTCACGAATTGTGGACTTGCTGCTCCGGTAACATCGACGACACTGTTGTGTCCTTCATGGCCTGTGACGACTGATCAATCAAATGTGGTGGAATTCCGCAAGGAACTCCAACTCTTGAAAATCAACAAGCAACAGTATCAGAAGACCTACCTTCCCCCGTTTTAAAGATGGCGGTCACCTACTGGTTAAAGAGTGGACCAAGTTGTGTACAAACGTTGAGTAGCTAGAGAGTGATCTGACATCATGAATGAAGTCGATAGTTGTCCATATCTTTTAAGATGTGCACGTCGTTTCTGTAACAACTATCGGGGGATAAGTCTACTTCCGATTGCCTTCAAACCACCCTTTTATCCTTTGTTCAACTGTTGACAATAACTCAGTTGGTTTATGGACTCAAGAACATTCGATGAGATAAGCATTTCTAGCCAGCATATGTGATGTATGCCGTGGTTTGACATGTGGAGCATTTTCATATGAAGTGTTTATGGAGGACACGTTTCAGCTATAATAAAAACTCACAATTATTAACTGATTTACATGAAATAGCATTACATACAATCTGTGTATATCGAGATAGGGATTTTTGCTTTTCAGCATACGCATCATGACATTCACTATTGAATTGGATATAAATATTCTTTAGCGATTTCATTCATTTCGACGTTCAAACACTGACATACGTTTTTCACTTCAAGCCAACAAGCGCGTTTTACTTCACTTGACTTTCAGTTTTGTGCAAAATCAATCATTCTCTTTGTTCACCTTGATTATTTCATTCGTAACCACTAATTTACTACAGTTTGACATGCGTGTGTTGATTAGTAAGATGGGAGCTATGAATGCACTGTCGTGTCATTGATTTTGTGTTTTGTTTTCTGAACTACATCTACATTGCTTGAACTGATATTAGGTTATGGCGACCGAAACATTGATTAGTTCCTCTTTCGGACTGTATTACTTTAATTGCTTATAATTGTACGTTTTGCAATGTGAATTGAATCACTCTTGCACTAGTTAAAAAACAACCTATCACATGCATACTACTTGATAACTAATACACTGTCATGTCACGTCAAGTCATAATCGAAAATGTTTACTGAAAATACATATTCCATCTACTACCGGTTGCAAGAACCTGTGCTTTTAAAGTTTTTGAGAACATCTGAATCCCAGAAACCTCAATTACAATGGATCATTGTGAATCTGGTAGTTTAATTGTAAATGAATACAATGCTATTCACGCTGAAAACAGCTGTACTTGAAATGCATTGAAATCACAATAAAGTATTGTTGTGAATTTTACTTTTTGAGGCTGTGCTTCGATAAACTGATCGTGTTCACTCGTTGTATTTGGTTTGCTAGTATTTCAATTTACATTTTACTATTAACTTGACACTGTACTTCTAATCGTTGAACGTCTTGAATGTTGAGGGTTTGCTCAGACTTTCATCAGCATAATTTGTTTCTTTATTTGAACAAACAAACTTTGTTACAATAGATCACCAAATACATATGCTCCATAAAATAACGATGAGGCTAGTAGTGCTGATCATTGATTTGAGTGTGTGATGTTAAATGCCTCCAGCATTTGACCTAACAGTCTAGTCCATAAGACATTGGTGCAATGTCAGAATATAGATGCACGTGGTAGCTGGTCACCAACGATAGCTCCAAACGTGGTATTTTAGAAAGTGGTCACATGTCTGATGACGGTATTAATGCGAATGCTTCGGGTGAATGACATATAAAGCTATCGTTGGTTCAAGTGTTTTTTGAAAGAGATACTCGATAGTAGTGAAGCTAAATAATTGTGTTATACCAGGGATCGGTTGTTCGAAGTTGTAAATGAGGCAGGTTCATCCAGAATCGGTATTAATCATTTTGATGAACAACCTGTTTAGCATGATGTTTTACTTTGTGTAGTGGCTAAGTTACCCGTTATTCATTGAATAGTATTTTGAAGTCTCTATGATGAAAACCATATTGGTCTTCAATTATTCTGTTTGTTGTGTCTTATTCACGTTCTCTGTCCTCGAATCCATTCAACAATTTTTTGTTCGAATTTGTAAATCAGGCAGGTTTATTCAGAATTTGTATTTTTCATTTTGATGAATAACCTGCTTAGCATAGTTGATACACTTCATGTAGTGGCTAAGTCACCGCTTCTTACCTGAATAGTGTTTTTAAGTCTCTATGAATTACATTTTTTCAGTGACCATGATCACTCGCTCAATATGCTAAATGGCATGAATATCGGAAACATTCATGTCCGAAAGGAAAACCAAATTGGTTTTTATTTATTTTAAATGTATTAGGTCTTTTGTCACGTTCTCTGTATTCAAATACGTTCTAATCCTTTGTGTATTCTTCTATACTACTTATTAATGTTTAGTAAACAGCTGTAGTCCCAGCAATGTCTAGGCGTATGGTGTGACAAAATTTTGTCTAGTAATATTCTGAGTTATTTGCACATACATATAACATTGAACACAACTGATTCTGATGTCATGCCAAGAGTGAAGGCGAAATAATGAGACAAAACATGTTAATTGCCTAGATAAGAGATGCAGTTGAGCAACCGTATTCACTAGTGATATGAAGAAATCGAAGAACGACATGAATGATCGTGTAAAAATGTATAATTGAGATTATGTTAGAGCTTTTGTTTCTTTGAGTACATTGTGTTGAAAGAAATCAACAAAAGTTCGTAATATCCATTTTGAAATGAGAAATGTTATAATCTAATGAAGACACAATTTCGGGTTGCTTCTGAGACCTATCAATGGACTGTTATTCTATATATATTCACTTTGTTTAACTGTTGAGTAATTATATTGTCTATTTCTATATTTATCCTATTAACACCTTCATTTTGACACATGGATATTTATTATACGAATAACTGTTACTAAAATTACCAAAAAGTTCCAATGAGCCAACCATTTGTATCCTTCTAACTAATAATAAACCTTTTTTTCTTTTTTAAAGTAGCAGCTGGCTTGTTTTTGTCCATATCACTGAAATTGTTTACAATCATTGCTGTTAAATTATGCTTTGTCTGTTTACTTGTGAATACTGTATTTATGAACATGTAATAATATCAGACTTTGTCGTTCTATTTTCCACATAAACTGGTTTCATGTTATCAATAAATGCATATCGGTGAACATGTCACTTTAATACTGTTAAATGGAGTTTCACAAGACTAGTCGACAGTTCTCGAATGTAATGTTTGAGTTACGATGAAAATATTTTGCTTATGCTTTTGACATAATTTCGTTGAGAGATGCCATTAAGACTGCAAGCATTAAATAACTAAACAACACGTGCAATCAAACTCAACACAGTTTAGTAATTTTAGCAGTCTGCCTGGAGACCAGTCACAATGAATAGAGAATCATCATTTCAGCCATCTTTGTACGCACTGCTCGTCGGCTTGCCTCAATCTGCGCGCTGTTCAGCAATTTTCTTGGTGTAACTGTGTATTTTATTGTTTGAATGTGCTGAAATTTAGCAATCTACGTTGAGTCTGAAACCAATCGGGTTCGTCGTATATCATGCGATTAAAACATTAACAGCTTTTTTATTGACAGTCAGTAGAGAATGCGTGAAAAAATGATCAATCTACTATCCGATTGCTTTATCCCATACTGGGGTCACCAGTCTGGGTGATTCGACATTGCGTGCTCTATGTTGAGATGAGGTGGTGGTTGGAGGTAGTCGACAGGAGAGTCTAGACCTATGATTGAGGTTATTTGGCAATCGTCAGCAAGGTTTTCTTGTAATCTCAAGGGAAATGATGCTCCCTGACGGATGTGATGAAATGTCACTGAGCAGATCACTGGTAGACACAATCATGCTGACACACTTCTGATCTGATCGGTAATTACCTTTCCATCTTAAACAGATAAAATAATTCATATTTAAATGAACGTCTGAAGTGGTACTCGTCAACTCTTGATTCAAGAGTAGAGAAATAAAAACGTGTTTATATAATAGTCCATAGTCTAAGGGAAACACGAAAGTTGGCAAGCTAAGAACAGTTCTTGTCTGGGTGTTATAAAAAGGAGAACAAGCAGAAATTGAAAACAACAACACTATTGTGATAAGTCTTCACTACATTAGCACATAATAATAATATATTCTGAAAATAATATTTACAAGATTCACACCAGTAAACAGGCATGATCAGATTGATATAGTTACTGATAAGTTACTGACAACCAACAAATGAACGAAATTGAACTCAAGTTATTTATGAAAACATCCATCAGTTTATTTAGAACTGCGAATCAATTGAAATGGAATGACTCGAAACATCATTATTCCAGATGGGTTGATAGAAATTGTAAAATTCTCTCTCAACCTCACATCTTTGAATCTATCGCCGGTGAATACATCTAGTAATTGGAATTTATCTCCCGATATCGTATACATCTGTGATTTGAATTCATCAAGATTCGTGATAAACTCGATTGATCCTCCATAATCCCGTGTGCGGACGTAAGCTATTACCCAACCACTTGGATGATCACTTAATTTTCGTATCCACAACTGTTTGTACGAATATATATGAACATATGTGAAAAGTTTGTTATTATTCAGTATACTAGTAAATGAAAATAATGTTAACGACATCTTGTAACTTTGCTGAAGAAAAAGTAGTGAAGAGAAATGACTGCATAAATGAATGTTTGCTGTCGTACACCTTGAAAAATGAATAGAGAACTTACAATAAGTACACGTGACCGCTACAACAGTGATTGTGTATATTATCGAATTGGTGATCAAAATAGTCTTATAATTTAAAATGCACACTTTCTAATCTATGTCACTGAGAACAAATATTACGTTACTAATGCTCATGTTCATCTTCTGTATTGGAATATGTAGAACAAAAGAGCTTCATTATACTGTAATATCACTCTGCCAACATAGTGGGACTTATTATGAAATGAAATATCTGATGAATCAATGAAAGTTGAGTTTTGTCACTGAAACACTCTGTGAAAGATTTTATAGTGTAGGCGAAAGTACTTGAACACTTATATATTGAAATTTCAATGTAACGCAGTTAACTTACCTGTACATCATTTCGTGATTTGACGAATTTCGCCTGATGTCCACCCTTATCCTGATTTATCGCCAACAATTGTTTGTTACGTAACAAGGATGCACTGAATTTATCCACTTTCTCCATATCAGCTGATATCAGTAGTGGAGCGGCGAACATACACCACACGCCCACATGAATTCGAGTTAGATCATTCGAAAGTTCGTTGTTTCCTAAAGCCAACATATCGGAATCGTTCCAGCGCCCTGAACCCGCCACATTCGGTGAATCGTTATTGTGAATTTTCCGCGCAATTACATAGTGGATTATATATCGCGAGTCGTTTCGCCCGTTGGACGGAGCTCGCCACAAATTACACGTGTTTTGTAATCTTTTCCAGTCAAATAACTTGGAATTTGTAATCCAATACTTATATTCTGGATAAGTACACAAAAGCATCACAGGCCTGCCAGTTCCTTCACGTAATTTGGCATATTTCTCAATGTCATTCTCAGTACAGTGGCATGCATGCAACTTCACAAAATCTACTTCCCAGTCGGCCACTGCTTTTGCATCCAATTTTATTTGATTGATATTTTCTGGATAACCAGAACATTTCTTGGCCGCGTTACCAAGATTTATACCAAATAGAAGATTTTTGGAGTGCAGATATTTTCCAACGTTTTCAATACCCTGTCAAATAAAATATGTATTTTAAGGTCAACGAATTACAACGCCAACACACAATGGTAGTTTACAGACATGAAAGCAAATCAAAAATATTCCGTAGTTGAACAGAATGATTCGTACAAAGGAAGTCATGATATGTAATTCATGATCAATACACTGATGCCGTTAATCACACAGGAGAATTATTACTGTGAACGAAGACTACAGTTAACTCAGCAGTCTGATGACATTGATTTATTTCTGATCGGTATAATTTTATATTGCTCAAAAAGTATACACATTTTGTGGACATTTTTTACCAAATTAGGCGGATCAACTCACATTAGAAAATCTTGTAGAATAGGCCGACATAGTATTCATTTTCGAATCACTTTTGTTTGCCAACCAAAAATCATCAATTACCACATATTTATAACCAAGATCTCTCCAACCATCCGAAACCAGTTTATCAGCTGTTCGTTTGATTTCATTCTCACCAAGACAGCCTTTTGGATATATTTGGCAGTTTACTGGATATCGGAATTCTGGCCAAATCTTCCATCCCATTGGTGGTGTTCTAGTCAGTCCATTATTTAAACACAACACACACGGAGCAGTGAAAATAATCGCTTGCAAAACTATTGTTAAAATGGCACACCTATGAATGAACAATAAAGACCAAAATACTGTCAAGTAAGAAATAATTAGTCAATTCAAATGCATAAACAAATAAAATAAATGCAGACAAGTCTCATCACACAACAAATGGTGTGTATTTTAATCTAACACCTTTTATGTAAGTCATTCGTTATATACATGCATAGATGAATAATTAGCGAAGTAAACATGTACGATTCGTTGTGTGAACAGTTGTAACGGGTCAACAAAGAACTCTGAGAATTTAACAAAAATCGAAATCAGTGATCGAACACTCATTTTATTGACCATTTCAACTGAAATTAATCCGTTTTTGAACGGACATTCAACAATCCGTAGCATAATTAGAACCGAATGGTGATTTGTGATTAGGGTAAAAAGAAAATTAATAAGTTGATAAAGAACACATTGATTGATATTTTTCGATAACCTCAGGAGTATATATCTGGTTTGTCCTAGTCAGTGTAAAGCTCAAATTGAAACCAAAGAATAAGAGACTAGTCCGAGTAAACAAACAAAATTTTGATTCTCTGTCAACAAAGGACTGTGAGAGTTTATAGAAAGTTCGAACCAGTTATTGGACACTCATTTTATTGAGATAGTTCATTCGTTGAATTCGTTCTTCATGAAATAATTCACATTCGAATCCAACAAATCTGCTCGATTGATACTTGTCGATATGATGATCAGCAGTTAATGACAAACATCCACAAGTATGTTGCATATGAATAAATATGTTTCGAATACCATGTGCAATTAAATAATTCTCCAATAATGACAGCATTACTATTCCAACACCGTCTACTACACCGTCGGCCATGAAACACATAAAATCCTATTCTTTGAACATACATGTGCATCTCAGTTTGTAAAGAAATTAAATGATCATATACACGTGTAGACTAATTGCTATCTGGACAAGCTTTCATTATTCCACTCACTACAATTGTACCACATTCTTCAGTAGACACTTCCAAAACAAAAATTAATATTCAAATACAATATGAAAGTCAATCAGTTCCCTCAGAATCTTCATTTACATACTATAAAATTATTATGTAACAACACTTACATTTTACTTGGAAGACTCAATGAGTTAAGTTCCGAATACACTCCTATATATATATATATATAACTAAATCATCACGTACAATGAAGTAATCCATTTAACTAGCAACATCACACGATTTGTTAGTTTGTCAAAAGAACTGGATTCATTAGTTGACTAGTTCCATCTAACATCATAATACTATTTTCATTTCATCATAATGCGTCATGATCATTATGTCAATTGGTTGACCGAAATACTTCAATTCTGCTATTAACAAATGAGCTGAATCACTCAGTTTTGGTCATGTGTTTTCATTTTCACTTATTAACAATTCAAAAATGAAAACTATTCGAGCAAACCAATGCTTTCAACAACTTCATCCTCATGCCCTACATTCATTAAGATTGCACTATTTCTGTTATATCTTACAAAGGTCAAAATAAGGCATACATTAATGAATTTGACAATGTCACATGTTAGAAATGTCGAACGTGTACATCTGTTACGACACGAATGCTGCCAAATTGTGTTGTTTGAATGTAAGACAGTTTATTTGATAAGGGTCAGAATGATATGAAGTAAAGTGTCGAATCCAACGCAATATATTAGTAATCTACCAAAATAAAGAATCATGGAAGTAAAATGAACGGCAGGAGAATTTCATCATGTTATATGTGATAGTTTTGATTTTAGTATCAATAATAAGATATTTGTGCGTATATAATGTATGATGAAATGGGTGTGATCAAGGTACTTACGATAAGAATGCGGTCACATGAAGTGTGAACGGTGGATGTAAAGTTTAGGACAGATGTAATCATAAACAGAAATGAGAAGGGGGTGAGAATTTCATGATATTCGGTTTGAGTATCTACTTATTCAGTCTTAGGTCAAGGCTGAATACAACCGTTCCGGATACGGTTCTCTGCAGTTGATACAGATATCCACGGCTGTGTAGAGTAGGCGTAATCTAGCTCCGTGAGGTAGGATTTGTGTACCTTGATATAAGAGAAAGTAAGCCTCCTCTATTTCGATATGATGTACACATTCTGACAAATGTGAAAGATAAGTACTGCTGATTGATTTAATAGCACGTTTTCTCAACCATGCTGGTATAAATTCATCAATGCGCAAAGATAATAATATATACTTATGCATGTTACTCCCAATGGGTAAGGGGTGAGAATTTCATGTAATTCAGTTTGAGTATCTGGTTATCCAGTCTTAGGTCAAGGCCTAATACAACCGTTCTGGACACGGTTCTCTGCAGTTGATACAGATATCCACGACTGTGTAGAGTAGGCATAACCACACTGTTGTGTCCTTCATGGCCTGTGACGACTGATCACTCAAATGTGGTGGAATTCCGCAAGGAACTCCAACTCTTGAAAATCAACAAGCAAATGTATCAGAAGACCTACCTTCCCCCGTTTTAAAGATGGCGGTCACCTACTGGTTAAAGAGTGGACCAAGTTGTGTGCAAACGTTGAGTAGCTAGAGAGTGATCTGACATCATGAATGAAGTCGATAGTTGTCCATATCTTTTAAGATGTGCACGTCGTTTCTGTAACAACTATCGGGGGATAAGTCTACTTCCGATTGCCTTCAAACCACCCTTTTATCCTTTGTTCAACTGTTGACAATAACTTAGTTGGTTTATGGACTCAAGAACACTCGATGAGATTAGCATTTCTAGCCAGCATATGTGATGTATGCCGTGGTTTGACATGTGGAGCATTTGCATATGAAGTGTTTATGGAAGACACGTTTCAGCTATAATAAAAACTCACAACTATTAACTGAATTGCATGAAATAGCATTACATACAATCTGTGAATATCGAGATAGGCATTTTTTGCTGTTCAGTATAAGCATCATGATATTCACTATTGAATTGGACATAAATATTCTTTAGCGATTTCATTCATTTCGACGTTCAAACACTGACATACGTTTTTCACTTCACGCCGACAAGCGCGTTTTACTTCACTTGACTTTCAGTTTTGTGCTTAATCCATGAGTCTCATTGTTCACCTTGATTATTTCTTTCGTAACCACTAATTCACTACAGTTTGAGATGCTTGTGTAGATTAGTAAGATAGGAGCTATGAATACACTGTCGTGTCATTGATTTTGTGTTTTGTTTTCTGAACTACATCTACATTGCTTGAACTGATATTTGGTTATGGCGACCGAAGCATTGATTAGTTCCTTTTTCGGACTGTATTACTTTAATTGCTTATAATTGTACGTTTTGCAATGTGAATTGAATCACTCTTGCACTAGTTAAAAAACAACCTATCACATGCATACTACTTGATAACTAATACACTGTCATGTCACGTCAAGTCATAATCGAAAATGTTTACTGAAAATACATATTCCATCTACTACCGGTTGCAAGAACCTGTGCTTTTAAAGTTTTTGAGAACATCTGAATCCCAGAAACCTCAATTACAATGGCTCATAGTGAATCTGGTAGTTTTATTGTAATTAAATACAACGCTATTCACGCTGAAAACAGCTGTACTTCAAATGCATTGAAATCACAATAAGGTATTATTGTGAATTTTACTCTTTGAGACTGTGCTTCGACACACTGATCGTGTTCACTCGTTGTATTTGGTTTGCTAGTATTTCAATTTACATTTTACTATTAACTTGACACTGTACTTCTAATCGTTGAACGTCTTGAATGTTGAGGGTTTGCTCAGACTTTCATCAGCATAATTTGTTTCTTTATTTGAACAAACAAACATTGTTACAATAGACCACCAAATACATATGTTCCATAAAATAACGATGAGGCTAGTAGTGCAGATCATCGATTTGAGTGTGTGATGTTAAATGCCTCGAGCATTTGACCTAACAGTCTAGTCCATAAGACAATGGTGCGATGTTAGAACATAGATGCACGTGGTAGCTGGTCACCAACGATAGCTCCAAACGTGGTATTTTAGAAAGTGGTCACATGTCTGATGACGGTATTAATGCGAATGCTTCGGGTGAATGGCATATAAAGCTATCGTTGGTTCAAGTGTTTTTTGAAAGAGTAACTCGATAGTAGTGAAGCTAAATAATTGTGTTATACCAGGGATCGGTTGTTCGAAGTTGTAAATGAGGCAGGTTCATCCAGAATCGGTATTAATCATTTTGATGAACAACCTGTTTAGCATGATGTTTTACTTTGCGTAGTGGCTAAGTCACCCCTTCTTAGTTGAATAGTATTTTGAAGTCTGTATGATGAAAACCATATTGGTCTTCAATTATTCTGTTTGTTGTGTCTTATTCACGTTCTCTGTCCTCGAATCCATTCAACAATTTTGTGTTCGAAGTTGTAAATCAGGCAGGCTTATTCAGAATTTGTATCTTTCATTTTGATGAATAACCTGCTTAGCATAGTTGATTTACTTCGTGTAGTGGCTAAGTCACCCCTTTCTTATTTGAATAGTGTTTTGAAGTCTCTATGAATTTCATTTTTTCAGTGACCATGATCACTCGCTCATTATGCTATCTGGCATGAATATCAGACACATTCATGTCCGAAATGAAAACCATATTGGTTTTTATTTATTCGAAATCTATTGGGTCTTTTACACGTTCTCTCTATTCAAATATGTTCTATTTAAACATCGAAATATTTATTAATATTGAAATCAAAATTATCTCAATTCACGGTATGTAAATTTCATTATAATTCTTTTTACTGACTAGATTCTTTATTTAGGAAGATTACTATTAAGCATAAACAAATGTGATACTAAACTTCATATACTTTTTTCCCTTAATAACTGAACTTTCAAATGTACAATTAACCCAACCTGGCAGTATTCATATCGTAACAGATGAATACGTTCACCATTGCTATCATGTGACATTGTCAAAGACATTAATGCACGCCTCATTTTGACCTTTGTAAAATATCACAGAAATGATGCCATTTCAATAAATGTAGAGCATGATGATGAAGTCATTGAAAACGTCAGCGATGGATTTTGAAGACAGTCCGCACAAATAGTACATTTATGAACACAGGCTGATCAATTATAGCCCAAAACATCACCGTGAAGTTACATACAATCAATATATGTTTAACGGTTTACAGACTTCATCAAGTAATTTGAACACACAAATCAACTTCTGAAAGTGTGACTGTCAGATGATTTATCCGAATCAGGGATGGATGATGGTTAACTCTGTGATCCAGAACGCGGGTCTCGTTCCACACAGTACTCTTCAGTAGCATATGCCTGTACCACAATTTTGATATTCACTCATTCATTTGATCACAGAAGCGGTCACTTCAAACGTGTTCACATTACACGCCACTGGTCGATGAACATAAATAATCACGAACCTCAAAGAACACACTGAGTCGCAAATCGTAAGTAAACATAAAACGGATGAACAGCAAGTTAAAAGAACTGGAAATAATTGTTCATGACTGATTTAGATGGCAAATGCTGGCGAGCTTCCTTTCCTCATCTACGAGCAGTAACATGTGTAGTTGAGTACTTAAGTCTGTCAGAGTCTGGTACATTATTATAAGCAGTAATAAATATATAATTAACAAACTTTATGATACATGTCTGCAAAATTATTAAGTGATAAGGGTCGATTTGTTACAGTTTGTTTGTCAATAACATCTGAGCGTCTTCAACACTGAACCACCGAAACAAGTGTTTGATTGAATACATCTTAAGTTGGTTTTATCCTATGTCAGTGCAGATGTTTAGTCTCCATCAACTCATCGCATTCGCGCTACCCGTTCTTATCATCTTTATTGCAAAAAGCTAGGAGTTTGTTACTGCATTATGGATAAGAACTTCCGGTCAAACGCTCGACGAAGGGCCCTCTGAGAAAACTAACCACTTCTGCTTGATCACCCGAGCAGTATGACAGCCCTCACACAAATAAGTGATAATTACTACATGCCTCATTTTTTTGTGTGGTACATATGTATTTCATCACAAAATGACATCAGCTACAAAGTAATTATGCTTTGCTAATCGTCTCTTCATTCACAAACTTAAGAAACGTATTGCTGTCATAAGGTGTTGGAAGTGATAGAGAGAGAACACGTTTCAGCAATAATAATTACACGCAAATATTAACTGAATTACATCAAATACCATAACATACGACCTGTATATTTCGAGGCAGTCATT